AGCCTGAAATACTTCAGGCTTCTTCGTTTATTTTCAAAGTCAACATCAGATGTTGGTTAACATTGTTGAGCAACATCTTGGGGTCTTCTAGAGTCAACCTGAAGTGAGAGTGGTTCCTGACATGGCAGAAAGACATAAATATAATTAACAACTTTTATTTATTTGTTTTTCATATTTTTCAGTTATACACAGCTTTTAAATATTTATTTTTCAAGTATTAAGAACTTTTATTTTCAGCTTTTATTTTGAAAAGCAACACACAGTCGTTGTAAACGTGCACAGTGAGAGCTGCTGGAGCCGAGTGGAGGTTCACTTTACCTCAGTGTTACCTGCGTGGGAACTCCCACCATGTTTTCACATGAGCTAAACTTCTAAAGCACGACAACAACGAGAGAACGGTCGAAACTATCGTGACCTACAATAAACGTACTTCAATAATATGCATAAGTGAAAACATAACATGCTTTATAAGTACAATAAATCATATTTCTTTGTCAAACATCGCAAAGAAACGTTACCTCATCAATAATTCTCGTGACTTTGAGGGTTACCCACAGCCAATCAGTGTTCGCCGCCGATAAACGCCTATTAAATACTGTTAGCCAATCAGTGTTCGCCGCCCATAAACGCCTATTCGCCAGAAACGCCCACTTTTGGTCTGCAGAGAACCCCTTCTCGGTATTTTACTATAGGTACAACTATATTAATGGCATTAGAGAAAGCTGAGCTTAAGTTATCCACATAAAGTAAAATGTTATCAGCATGAAAAGAAGGAATGTTGAGTTTGAGATTAATCCAGTTTCTGATGTCTGACCAAAGACTTTATATTGACATGAAAAAAAACATATTTGAGGGATTCATCTTCTGATTTGCAAAAGGCACAAAAATCAACATCAAATTTAAATCTTCTTTGCAGAAACATGGCTACAGGATATATCTTATTTATTATTTTTAAATAATTCTCCTTCACTTTAGAAGATTTAGACCATTTGACAAATTTAGAATGAGCAGAAGTCATACTGGTTTTATGATTTAAATTTGGAGGTGCCTTGAAGGAATCTTTGTTATAATCAGTAAATCCTTTGTTGCAAACATTCATTGATAATCTTGTTGCATTTGAAGTCAACTAAGTTACAGGCATTTAGTTTTAATTTGGGCATCAAATCGTCACCTTTGAATATATTATATTTTTAATTAATTGAATCAGCTGTTGGTCATGTTACTTCTTGTTGTCCCATTAGCTCTAAAATAGTTACTGAATCAAGTGTTTACTTCCATCCATCCGTGGGGGTAGCAGCCTAAGTAGGGAGGCCCCCAGACTTACCTCTCCCCAGCCACTTGGACCAGCTCCTCCAGGGGAATCCCAAGGCGTTCCAAGTGTTTACTTGTGTAGGTAAAACTAGATGTTAAATAACCATTAAAATACAACAGAATGCAGAAAATGGCATCTACTTTGTTTACTTCTTCCTGGGGGGGGGGGGGGGTAACAGAACAGAATATAATTGAGAAGCACTGCCTTAAATAGATGCTTTGTTCATAAGTTTTTAAATACTACAACAGTGTGTTAGTTTGCTGTATGCTTCAATAAACTTGTTTTTTAACAAAGTTGTTGTATTTCTCCTTTTTTCCTTAGTTTTGGGTCCTGGTGTGGTTAGTCACTGTGGCTAAAACAAAAAAATATGTTTTGTGAGCAACAGTTGCTTAATCAGATTTAATCCAGTACTTGCCTATTTTCACATGGCTGTCTTCTTGAACCAGAACTTGGATTGTATTTATTGTGTTTTAGGAATGTTGAACCTGATTCAGCACATTCAGCTGCAGCTCACTTCTGACGTGTTTTCATGTGTCCTGTCATAGAAACACAGTTTGTTCTTTAGTTAAACTGAAGTATAAAAATGTTGGACAGGTCTGAGTCAGTCCTGCACTCTGGACCTTCTAAGTGGAGTTTTGGTCATTTCTCCTCCCTCATCTCAGGGTTAAGTTTTCTTTAAGGCCTTTTTCCATTTTACCACAAAGTTTTCCCCTTTCAGTTTTATCTAATTTTATCTTTAACATTTTCTGTGTGTTTCATTATCCCAGTGTTAGACATGTAAAACAAAACTGGATGTTGGCACTTTGTGCTATTCTAATCCCAGTGTTCAGTCTACCAGTGGTTTTATGAGTCAGGACTTTGAATTACAGAAGGTCACCATTTGTTCCTATTCATGCAACCTATGAAACAATTGATAGAAAATACTAAATACATCACAGTTTGATTACAGTATAGTATTTTAGAGCCAACAAGATTATTAAAAGGACTGAAAATGAGTGGAGAAAAGGAAAATCTCCTAAAAGACCATTAGAAAGTCTGGAGAAGTACTGAGCACTTTAAGGATTACAATAAACGAGCTGTTTGGAAACAAAACAAGCAGTAATTAGGCCGGCTTAAAACTTCACCTCAATACTGTGTTTGTTAAAGTAGTAATATTCTGTGTTCTGATCAGTATTACTGTAATAAGGAGGCAGAATTGGTTGTGAAGGAGAATCTCTGTCATCAGTGGGGTTCCCTGTGTTGTAGTTCTACAGTTTATCCACAGAGGAGCGCTAGAGGTCCACTGTAAACCACAGACATGACGGCGGTGAAGCTGTAACAACCTCATGGAGTAGTTCAAATCAATAAAACCAACGATTTGACCAATAATTGCCAACATTTTTCAAGTGTGTCCATAGAACCCCACAGGAAGCCCTTCCTCCCTGCAGCTATCAAACTTTTCAACTCCTCCCCCTTTCTACACACAGGACAATAAAATTAATGCTGCACTACAATAAGCACTTTAATGTTTCTGCATTACAATAAACACTTTGTTTGTTTGTATCTTTTTTTTTTCCAGCTTCTCTCTTCTTCAGGGGTCGCCACAGTGAACTAAGTTGCACAAAGACTTGACAATTATTATTTTTACACCGGATGTCCTTCCTGACACAACCACAGACAACCGAGCTACCACAGCCCTCTGTGTGGAGCAGAGAGATGCTATCTAGAGTTTCCGAGGGAGCAGATGGTGGAGGTTAAGGGCCTTGCTCAAGGGCCCAGAGTGAGGTAAGGTGGGTGTGGAGGCAGGTGTGGGTGCTTCACTTTTCCCACCCACATTTTGATGTTGTCGGTACCAGGATTTGAGCCGGTGATCTTCACAGGCCCACCTCTGCACCACCACTTCCCACCAATTCTTTATTTTTATATTTTCTGTTATTTTCTATATTTTGGGATTCCTTGTATGTTCCTTTGTACTGAAACTCTGGCACAAGAATTTCCTGCAGGATCAATAAAGTTCTATATTTTCTTCCGGTGCTGAAGATGTGTTCACATGGAGAAGATTTCCTGAAGAAGTGAGATCTGGTCCTATCTCACCTTTAAAGGAGAACTGAACCTAAAGTCAGGCTGACTGATGCTGAATAATCTCATTAATCCCTCAGACCTCTGCCTCAGCACATGTAGTCTTGAACAGCATCTAATTGTAATCCAAAAAAGTTCAATCTGGTCCTCTGGACAATCAAAAAAACAAAAAACAAAACAAAGCAAAAAAATATAGAAACGTTTCGTCTCTCATCCAAGAGACTTCCTCAGTCTGAGGTGCTGTTTTCAGCTCAGTCTCTTAAATAGCACCTTCTCAGAGTGAACCACTCTGAGAAGGTGCTCAGACTGAGGAAGTCTCTTGGATGAGAGACGAAACGTTTCTATA